TATATCTGTGAGGGCATATATAATGTTTTTATCTTTTTTTTTTTAACGTCATGCTGAATGTTTTACGTGGGAAGTCCATCTCTTATGTTGGTTCAAAACTCCTGACCTTTATTAGTTGCGTGGCCTTGTAGCCTGATGGTGTAAGAAGTGGTACCAATTAGAAAGTCTTTAAGATAAGGTCTGGTGAAGGGTTTTCTTATAGGTCAATGTAAAAAGGGAAAGGTTTGGTACCTTTAGAAAAATCCTAAAAGAGATAGCTTTAGTACAAAATGCTCTAATATGGAGGATTGCTGGTTCATGGAAATTAGTTGTTGGCTTATCAATTTTGCCAGAGCCCTTTATGACGCTGAAAATTTTGACTTTATGAGCTTTCTTCATCTCTTGAACCAATGCATTCCTATCTCGAGAAAAGATAGATTGATTTAGACATTTGCACTTTGAGAGGTATTTGAAGGTTGTAACTCGTGTATGCACTTAATGAAAAATTGGAGTGTCATCCTTGATCAACATGTTTACAACGCTACTGGAAATCGACAATCCTTAAATAATGTGAGAATCTTGCTACGGTGCCTTTCTTTTGGAAGCTTGAATACAACAAAATACGTAGTTAAAAGCATTTGGTTAAAAACTTTAGATAGAAATCACGTTATCTGTTATGACACATAAAACACTAACAAAATTTGGTAGACAAGTCACTTTGATGTTTTTCCTTGGAGCTGCTCTTCTAGTCTCTTCTGTAAATTTGAGACCTTTTTATGATTGGCGCCAATTGGAAGATTTTCTTTTTCCTTAGGTAGGTGCTGCAGATTATATTGCCCTAGCCAAAAACTATCACACTGTCTTCATATCTGACATCCCAATGATGAGCATGCGCATTCGTGACAAGGTATGAGAAAGTATTTTCTTTCAATATTTTTGCTGTGATCTTAGTGAACCTTCAAATTTCAATCAGGCAAATGTTACCAGCCTAAGTGGCTAAATACAATTTAAGTGTGCATATTGTACTGGCTACATACCCTTGGTAATTTACATGCGTATTAAATGAATGTTTCTCCCTATGGCCTTCGACATCTGTGAAGTGTAAAATTGAATATCTTTCTTGCTGCCCTCCATTTTCCCTCATTTTAAGCTTAGTGAATTACCTTTTCTCAGGCCCGGAGGTTCATCACTCTCATTGATGAGTTATACAATCACCATTGCTGCCTATTTTGCTTGGCAGCTACATCAATTGAGGACTTATTCCAGGGCACGGAAGAGGGTGCTCTTTTTGATTTGGAGAGGTAATTGTTCCTCTTGTGTTTGGGTTGAACATTACTCTTTTTTTTTTTGGGGGGGAAGCTCTAAGAATGTGAATACTTCCATCGTGATTTCATTTCATGCTTGAGTATGCTTATTTATTTTGTAAATGAACAACGGCTTGAAGAGTTTGGCAAACCGATTGCGTTGAGTAATATTTAATATCAATCATAAGTGATATTGAATTTGCTTTGTCCTTTCCTCCAGTGTCCAGTCATTCTGCAATTTCGTGGAAGCACTTTGAGAACATGTCTTCCTAGGGTAGGCAAAAATATTTTGGTATAATGCTACAAGACCCATTTTGGTGTGTTTCATCTGTTTGTTTAGAAAGAATAAGAGATTTTTTCAGGAAAAGTCAAGGGAGCGGTAGGTCAAGGAAAAGTCGAGGAAAACTAACTGTATATCTTTCTAAGCCTTTTGAAGAGATTGAAGAAGACCGAGTATACTGAGTACCACCACATCAACTTTATGCTGCTTCTGTTCTGAACCTTAGAATGAGACAGATTTAAGTCTTGCATGCAGATATCTAGGTCTTTTATGAGCGTATATGCATATTGTTGGATCATTTTGATTTCCTTGCTTAGTAATTAGATCGACCCACATCATTCAGTTTATAGCTTACTAGCTTTGAAATTGATTCTATCTTTTGAGCATCAATGTAGGTTTTGCAACTATGCTATGAACTTTGTATTTCTGGTTGCAGTTTTCAGTTTGAAACAGAGGCAGAAGGGGGAAAGCTTCGTCGAAACGTCCTAGTGGAGGGCAATGTAGGATCAGTAGGTGCTCCAACTGCAATTGTGTCAATGCTATCTGGTCAAGAAGAGATGTTTGCATTCCGTCGAGCTGTAAGTTTCTTTTGTCTCCTTAGTTTCTATAATGGTTCTTGTACGATTTGCAAACAGTATTTAGTCAAACCAACAGGTTCGTTTAGTACTTGGTATAATGCTCTGAATATTATGATTTTTTTTTCATTTTATTTTTACTTTTATGTTTTTGAAAATTAAGCTCATATACACTCAGCCAAGTTTTGGAAAACTACAGAAAGGTCCAGTTTTGTTTAAAAATCCTTTATTCTCAAGTTATTTCAATCACATTATTAATTGTACGGTAACATCTGTGTCCATTTCAACCCGGTGAGCTTTGGAAAACTATATATATTACAAAAATGAAAATCTTTTGTTGGTCACATAGTTCTGTTCTTTTTACAGGTTTCTCGATTGATTGAGATGCAAACACCTTTATACTTGGAGGGAGTGCGAAACCTTCATCCATATTTCCAAAGACGAGAACCAGAATCATTAGTTGATTCAGCAGCCAGGTTCCAATTTCAGCAATCATCATGACTTTACAAGGTACTCGTCCACTGCTCAAATTCTCTCATTTGGGATAAGTAGGGGGAAGAGAGAGAGAGAGATAGAGCGCTCTCCATCCAGATTAAAAGAAATATCTATATATCTATATATATATATATATATATATATTTAATTCTCTAGAGCTGACTATTCTATTGCATCTGAGGCCTGTTATAATAACTGAACTGAACAATATAAGGGAATTCAAAATTTAAAAAATCACATTAGGTAGTATTAAAAAGAAGATAATAACTTCATATACTTTAGAGAATGCTTACTGCCATCATTCCCCTCTTCCTACTCATTCATAATGTTATATCTTTTCTCCTCTAGTCAATTGATTATGTATTGAGCTAAACCTGCAACCTCTTTGTCTTTAATACCCAAGTTAAAAGATTCTTGGTAAGATTCTTTTTTGTTTGATCTCTATAATTTCACTCCCACATGCAAATTGGGAATTTCATGTGTTGAATTCTTTAAATAATTTAATGTGATCGGTCGAATGATATGTTTAGAATACATACTTAGAAAAGATACGTTTAGAATACATATTTATAAAATGTTATTAGAAGTGATGAGCCATGTTTTTGAGTTCGAAATTGGAAGCTTTCTAGGCCCCCCTATGACATTACTTACCATAACAGATGCTATAAAGTTTTTATTCAACGGTTAAAAAACACTTCAATCTCTTAAACATTTATAGTAATAATTTAGTTTTTAAATGTCAGGAGGTAACATTTTAGTCTTTTTACAATGTCGTAAAAAATATTGATAAAATTTAAAGAGGTTTTTTCTATGAAGGTTGATAGATTGATTAGGAACAAATGGTCGAATTCTAAAGATTTATTAGACGACCATTTCTAAAGATTTATTAGATGAGGTATTTCATGTTACAATTTTGAAAGTATGAAAAATAAATTGTTATCTATTGACTCTAAGGGTTAGTGTTATGAATTAATGTTTAGAACTTAGAACTTGTATGTAAGTTTATGGAGTAAATTTTTATTTTTATTTTTTTGGTCGGTAAGCTATTGGCTATATGAAAACTCTCTTGTATCCCCTAAGAGGTTTTCATTTTTTTCTTCCTATGTTGAAGTATAAAGTTGGTCTAGAAAGTTAAAATTTGGTCTATGGTTGATAGAGTTGATATAACTATGTAGACCGTCTTTTAAAATCATTTTAAATTTGGAAGTGCTTCCATTGTTATTGAAGATGCTCTTCGGTGTTTCAGTTTCATATTTGTAAATCATGCATTCTTTTTTATATATTATTACACTGATTAATATTTCCCGTTCCAAATCGCTTGATGATTTTTTATTTTAAAAATAATTAAGGAGTTTAATATTATTTTATAGTAGGTTTAAGAGTCCTACTTAAATTGAAGTTGATTAATTTAAACTCATATTATTGAATTTATTGGGAAATTTTGTTAGTTTGTTTTAAATAGTTGAGGGCGATTTTAGTTGTCCAGGCCATTGTGAATTGTCCACGTGCCTGACCAATGACGACTTGATGGCCATTGGTCAGGGTTGTTCTAAATTAAGCCAATTATACTATTACCTCCAAAATTTATGGTTGAAGTTTAACTAAAAATTTTGAAGTGTATTTAATAAATTCTTAAGCTTTTAGTATGCTTTTTATTAAATTGATTTTTAATTTTATTTATTTATTAAAAGCTAATGCTCTACATGCATTTTTTTTTTTTTTTTTTGAAGCAAGTAATGATATGCAATTGCTAAGCTAAGACCAAAGTCTTTGACTTTATTTATTTTACTTTAAAGTATCATTTTTGTGTTTGTAATTGGAAGTAGAAAATTAAAATTTAAAATAAATTAGTGTGTACTGTTTGGGCATTTGTTCATTGTTTCTGGTAGGGATGGCGCCTTGGTGGTTGAATTATGTATACACGTGTTAGCCACCTTATTGTATAATAGCCACGTGTTAGCCATCCTCTGATTCGGAAAGAGGAAAAATGATAAAACCCTAACTTTTCAAACCAAACCACTCTGCCGAAACATGGAAGAATCAATCCAATTATTTAATCTACGTATAAAACAATCTTCCAACTTCCAAGGGTCGGAATCTTCCCAAAAAAAAAAAGGAACAAAAAGGGTGAAAAAAAAGGTTCCCAAAACCCAAGTGATCGGAGGGTCGGCGAGCAACGGAGGGAGATTCGTCTCTCTCTCTCCCTTGTTGAAGTTGCTGCCACATGTTCTCTCTTGTTTGAATTCAAATTTGCAGTTAAATGCATATCTTGATTGAATCAGAGCCTTCTATTCATTTCTCGGGCTCCTCTCATGGCTGGTTGCCTACTGTTTGATCGTATTCTGTTTAGCCTATAGTGTTGCCTTTCGTCTTGTTGGTTGTGAATCCTGAGCGATGGGTCAGAGAGGATCTCAGGTTTTAGCCTATAAGCGAGATGGGTTGTTCTCAGTCTTTGATTTGGGCTCCCAATGGAGTATCCACGAAGGCCACTTCCACCCCGGAGGCTTATTTGCCAGTGTCGGTCAGATGGGAGTCGGATTCGGCATCTCACCCAATTCTTCTAACTCCTGCGCCCAGGACGACACTAACCCTCTTTACACAAATTTGTGTATGAAATATGTGCCTTCTGCTGAGGCTGCTACTATTGAGGAAGGTGTAGTGAAAAACAAAACGAAGAAGAAGAAGAAGGCTGGTTTTCAATTGAGAATAAGGGTTCAAAATCCTTCACTGCGGAGATTGATAAGTGGTGCAATTGCTGGGACGGTGTCAAACACTTGTGTAGCGCCATTGGAGACTATAAGAACTCATTTGATGGTGGGTAGCAGTGGGCACTCTGTCACAGAGGTGTTCAATGATATCATGAAGAATGACGGATGGAAGGGATTATTTAGGGGCAACTTGGTGAATGTTATTCGGGTCGCACCCAGCAAGGCCATTGAGGTACTTGACACTCTAATTCTCGTGCTTTAATGTTTTGCTTTTGAATTTGCTCTGTATTTTATTGAATTGGTTCTCTCTCTCTCTCTCTGCAAGTCTTGAGTTCCTTGATTTCTTCATTTTTCTTGTCTACTCGTTTGTGTGTAGATGTTCCCTGTTGGGTAATTTCTTATTAGAATTGTTCTTTGGATCTTGTCAATTGAGTACCAGCTTAAACTTAATCCTTTTGTAAATTGTTTGATGTTTGCATCCTTATGTTTGCTGAATATTTTGTGATTCACAAGATCTGATTTGTAACCATTATTATGAATTGAAGGAGGAAATTGTTGTAGGAATTCAAACTTAAGACCTCCTGTCTGATTCTATAGAAACTGGATCCATAAGCTTATGGCGTTGAATTGTCATACATTCGTTAATAGACATGCTTCAAGAATTCTTTTTGTTTAAAGTCGAGTATGGAAACTAGCTGAGAAATGGCCATGGTTGATGATTTGAGTTTGACAAATACGGTTTGTCGTGGTTATCGTTCTTGTACTTCCATTAGATGATATAATCTCTAGAAGATTGAATTTAATTTGTTATGCTTCAAAGCCTGTTTTGTGTTTGAAACTCATCTATGTAGAATTTTCCACTTTTCCCTGAAGTACCTGAGATTAAGGGTGTACATTCAACCCGACAATCTGGACCAATCCAACCCGAATTATAAGGGTTGGGTGGAGTTCATTTTTCTGAACCCGAACTGGTTCGGTTCGGTTTCGAATTCATGGGATAAAAACTTCGGGTTGACCTGAAACGAACATGGTCCGGGTTGGGTTGAGGGGTTCTTTTTTGGGTTAAGAGGAAGGATTTGCTGTGAAAACTGCTTTTTATATTCATTTCAGTGCTTACAGATTCCTCTGCTGTTCTTTCTGCAGCTTTTTGCTTTTGATACAGTCAACAAGAACCTATCACCCGGACCAGGGGAAGAACCAAAAATTCCAATCCCTGCTTCATTAGTTGCTGGAGCCTGTGCTGGAGTTAGTGCAACCCTCTGCACATACCCCCTTGAATTGCTCAAAACCCGATTAACCATACAGGTAGCTCGAAAATATTAGTGAACTGAAACAACATTTTTCGTTCTTAAACGTCACGAGACCTCAACGCTTGCTAATTCTTGCAGAGAGGGGTTTATGATGGCCTTTTAGATGCTTTCATTAAGATACTTAAAGAGAAGGGGCCTGCAGAATTCTACAGAGGCCTCACTCCCAGTTTGATTGGAGTGATCCCATATTCTGCAGCCAATTACTTTGCTTACGACACGTTGCGAAAAGCCTATCGGAAGATCTTTAAGCAAGAAAAAATTGGCAATATTCAAACCCTTTTAATCGGATCAGCTGCGGGTGCCATTTCGAGCAGTGCGACGTTCCCACTGGAAGTAGCTCGCAAGCAGATGCAGGTTGGAGCCCTCAGTGGAAGACAAGTCTACAAGAACGTAATTCATGCGCTGGTAAGCATACTTGAAAGGGAAGGCATTCAGGGGTTATATAAAGGGCTTGGCCCCAGCTGCATCAAGCTGGTGCCCAATGCAGGTATTTCGTTCATGTGTTATGAAGCTTGCAAGAGAATTCTCGTAGACAAAGATGATGAAAATTAGAAGGTAACATTTTACATCAAACTTTGGCGCAAAGTTGGAGAAGAATACCAAAACCCACCTCGGTTTTTTTGGTGTCTTGAAGAACTTTGCATCTTCCCAGTGCTAAGAGATTTGTTATTGTTCATAAATGCATTAGAATTTGGTGACAGAGAAGTTTTAGAATGATTTGCACCAATTTCTTTCTATAAACATTTAGTAACCGACACGTCTTCCATCTTTTCAGATAAAACGCGTGAATCAACGCTACTACAGTATATTAGGTTTTAGAGAATTCAATTCTCTTTCTCGGAACCGAGGAGCAAGGTTGTACATTTGATTTGTTATATCATTTCTCACCTTTATGAACGTCTGAAATGGTTGAAATTATCCATGCTAGTAGTGGGCACAAGATCAGATAGAATAGATTTCTGTGGCTGAAAAACTGTGATATTGAATACTTGAACACGAGGAAGTATTAAATTATAATTTCACTGTCATAATAATTCGGAAACATTTAGAAAAAAGAAGAAAGAAAATCATTGACGGTTTGTTCATACAAACTCTCCTGATGTAAATAATTCCTTTATCTATTTCCATTAAACAAATGAGACTTCACAATAATGCACAATAATATTATAACATACCAATACAACTTCAAGACACACCTACAAATTCTGGTGTAAAGGTCATCCTTCTCTCATTTTCCTCAAATTGGGTTCATTCCTGGGGGCTCTTCACAATGCCTTGATTTCTTTCTTGTCATATTCACAGGAACGTCGCCATACCACGGGACAAAACTATGATGTAACCGTCTAGCAATTGACACCACATTGACCATTGGCAGCCTTGGTCGCAGCCGAGGTGAATGGATCGATTCGCACCCAGAGCAAGGAGAAAATGGAAGCGAGGAGAATGGACCAGACAATGACAATGGTAGGTGTACGGTTTTGCCTTCCTAGTAAACCCTTTAGGAAAGGATATAAATGGACAATAACCCACAATGCAAAGAACAGCTTACCAAAGAGAGGGCCCCAAGACTGGTAGCCACTGTTAATGGCATACGAAACACCTGCCACTATACCAACCATATTCATAATAAGGACAGTGGTGGGAGGGATGAGGAGAGAAGTCCATTTGAACACATAAAGCTCTGCAAAATCCCCATCTTCATCGTTGGCCTTTGACGTCACAGTGAAGTTCGTATCGATTCCAGCAAGAACCTTTAAGAGACCCTGGAAGACGGCGAACAGATGAGCTGAAGTACCACCAATGACCCAAAATTGTTCATTCCTCCACCAGTCTTCGATGCTAACCCCACTCCATCTGAGTTCGAGAATACCCGTTGCAAAGATGGAGACGAAAAGGAGAATGAACCACATACTGGCAAAGTTGCTAATCTGCAAGTTAGGTAATGAAAACAATACGTCACTTTAAATTGGAAAATGGAATCGTTATCTCATCACAAACAGGATATCGATTATCATCATTGTTACGCATACTATCAAAATTTATGGAGGCGTCCCACATTTAGTAGATCGGATAAAACAAATGATCAATGTTTCAAAGATAGAAACTACCAAATTACCTCAGGAATGATGAACTTTCCAGTCAAAAGACAAAATGCAGGAAGCATACAGTATGCAATCAGTGGAATTGAGGTGATAGGGTAAACGATGGTATTGATGTATGCTATTCTCTCCAAAAGCTTTAGCCTTCCATTGTAGCCATACCAGATAGGACAATGCCTGCTGAGCAAGATTTCTATGGAACCCAATGCCCATCGAAGCACCTGGTTTAAACGATCAGAAAGATTGATAGGAGCAGATCCCTTGAACGCCGGGCGTGGAGGCATGCAGTAAATCGATATCCACCCACGAGCGTGCATCTTAAACCCAGTCAAAATATCTTCTGTCACAGAACCATAGATCCACCCAATCTAAAAGTAAAAGAAAAAAAACCAGTTGTTAGATCCGAGTTCATCAGGCTCGTCTTTGAAGCTCTCTTAAGAACACGGGTAGACGACATGAATTGCTAGTAGCAACTAACCTCTTTGCCCCATTCTGTCTTATCTTCATACCCACAACTGATGACATGAATTGCTTCCTTTAGAAGAGTTGCAGGATTGGTTGAAGGTGGAATACCTCCCATTTCCATGAAAGTGGCAGCAATGAAAACTGGAGATTGGCCAAAGCGCTTCTCTAAACTCTTCTGAGACATCAGGAGCGACCTCTCATCATCATAACCTGAAAGTCACAGCAAATAAGGTGAACATTCTGTTTTATAGAATAAAGAGTGAGTTCTTTGAGGAAAACCTACCTTCAACGCCTTCCTCGATATCTTCCATATTAAAGATAGGAATGGTAGACTCAGTCCTCTTTGCAGCTCTCTTTTTGTCTATGTACTTCTTGTTCCTGCCCTTCTTTCTTGAACCACAACAACTCTTAATGATAATATTTGGTTCCAAATCTGCCTCGGTCAGAACCGGATCATAACCATATAAAGCTTGTCGATTGAAACAACAACCCGTTCCCACATAGACCGGACCCTGGAGGCCATCTAACCCCTTCAAGTTTATCTGAAAAGTATAGCAAGATTGAATACAACGTCAACGACAAGTAACAAGGAAAAAACCAAAAGCAACAAAATTACAAGGAGATATATGATTGAAATGCTTGATGACGGGTAAAATAGCCTACGTCGAAAAAGACAATGTTGCGATTGGCATATCGATCGTGCAAATCAATGCCATCGAAACGTTGTGGGAATTGTACATAACACGTTTTCTTCCCATACGCAGGATCCATCATGAAACACATGGCTTCCTTGAGAGCCTTGCTGTTGTTGAAGTAGTGATCACAATCGACATTCAAAAGATATGCTCCATTAGTAAGCACAGCAGAAACTCGGATCTGAAGATAAAGATGAAATCAAATCATTAAATAATCACAGAAAACCACAAAAATGAACTTATTATAAGTCAACTTCTTCTTATAACTAATAATTTTGTTAATTTCTTGTATCTTTTATGCCATGGTTATATCAAAGAAAAATGACTGACCAGTGCATTCATGGCTCCTGCTTTCTTGTGGTGCTGGAAGCCTGGTCGTTTTTCACGAGAAACATAAACAAGTCGTGGTAGTTCATTGCCATCAGTATCAAGACCTCCACTGTGGCCTAAGAAAACCTGCACTTGTACATACACAATATCAATATTACCCCTCGAAAAAGGATTCAAAAGTGTAAAAACAAACAATTTGAATGCTTGGGAGACCTGTATCATTCCAGGATGATCCCTGGGATTGTTTCCTGGCCATGGCGTTCCATCCTGCATGGTCCAACCTTCCTCAGGCATCTTTTGTGCTTTGGCAACAAGCGCATTGATCCGAACCTTGAATTCTTCATACTCTCTCTGTGAAACAACACATTAACTTTTCATGTGTATCAGAAGATCAAAGAATATTTATCCATCTATGGCCTTCCAAAATTAGACGACTAAATGTAATTCGAAAGCTAAATGAAGAACCTGTGCTACGAAAGAAAGTGCATATCAAACAATGGACACAACTATGAGATTATGAAATCGTCATTTGTATGGTTTTCTTACTTTCATTGATCGTCGCTCTTTGACAAAGGAAGGTTGAATCTTGTCTTTTAAATAGTCAATTTTTTGGGCAAAATAAAACTCAGGGGCCCTTGGCTCAATATTGAACTTCTTGCAAAAGGGCACCCACTTCCTTGCAAATTCTGCAGTTTCAGAGAGGGATTCAAAAGTAAGCATTGCTGAACCATCATCTGATACATAGCAGGAGACTTTGTCCACTGGGTAGTCCACAGAAAGTATGGAAAGCACAGTGTTTGCTGTGATAAGTGGAGGCTCTTTGAGTGGATCCACTGTACTAACAAAGACATCAACAGGAGCTAACTGTGATGGTTCTCCTTCACGATCGTATCTGCACGGTGAAGGCAACAATTGATCAACTTAATAGTAGACCTAATCGTCATTGATCTTCCAATCTAAACCCATTTGATTCGACCATATGCAGAAAAAATATACCGACCTTAGCGCGAGTCTCTCAAGGTAGGTCTCGCGATTGACAGGAGACCATTTTGGAAACTGATCCAGAAGCCAGGAAAGGGCAAACCAAACTTCACAAATAACTGATGTTAACCACAAGGGGTAAGCATCCTTCACAGGGTGAGTCAAACGGTACTGTAAGAAGAAGCCCAGAATAATAAGTCGGAGTATGATCACAACACGATACGGGGTCAAGTGAGAAGATGGAATAGGAACGACACGACTCAGAGGTTGTCTAGCATCATCGGCCCTGTAAAATAAATAAATGAAGTCGACAAAATTAGCATCACTGACATTTAAGTAAAGAAAGAAATAAATAAATGAAGTACTTACATTTGTAGTTCTTCTCCATTTGACCCAGTGCCCTCCATGTCCCCCTTCCCTTCAGTGTACCTACTTGTCATCTGCATCATGTTTTTGTCTTGTTTCAGTTTCCAACCTTCCACTCTTTCCTTCCAGTCAACATTCCCAAGGCCATAAGAATTCAGATCCTTTGATGGGTCTACAATTCTCACAGGAACTGTGATATGAACAAAAAAAGCCATTAGTTCAAACCCGAAGCAACAAAAAATGCTTCCTTAAAGATCATGAAAAACTCGAGCTTCTTCATACCTGGCTGCCGTGGGTCGACATATGGATGTGAGTGCATATGCTTTTCTGGAGGACCCAGAGGACCAGATGTGGTTCGCACCGATTGATTGTCAGGGGTAGCACAAGGAATTTCGCCCGAAACCTAAAGAAGCAAAATGTTAAACCATGAATGTAAAAAATCAACATATCCAAATGTATTGTGGAATTGATAAATTCTTACTGATTGGCCATTGGTAAGGAGTGGTATGGGCTGTTGAGATTCATGTCTCGCAGAGGTCGATAGTTCAGCATCTTCCCCTTGCCAATGTCGTTTTGTTTTGCTACTTCCTTGGACGTAATTAAACTCATTCTCAATGTCATCCACATCATCTTCATCATCATCACCATCGACACGAGGACTCCCTGAAATAAAATAACAGATCATTGAGTGTTTTATACTCAAATCTATCAGAAAGGACACATGAAAACTCAATCAAACCTTTGTGCCTCTTGTATCTAGTCTTGCACTG